TATTTAGCAATTCCACATGGCCTTCTAGAAGGAGGAAAAAACTTGACTTATTTGGAAGTTTGACCTCCATTCTGATCAAGGGTGAGTTGCAACTGCTCCACCATTCAGCAGAAGGATAACTTTAGAGCAGAATTTAAATGAAAGCATTGCCATAATCCTAAACTGGCCCAAAGTCAAACCCTCAACACGATGATAATCTCTGGCATCGTTTGCAAATTGTAGATGCTCTGCATTAAATCTGACTGAACTGGAGTTATTTTACAAAAGGAATGAGTAGAGTGTTTTAATCGTTAGGTGTGCAAAGGTCTGTTGGGACATAAACCCAAAACACATTATATAAATTCCTGATATGTAGAAAAGTCAAAAAGTTATGATTAGATTTCCAAGAAAACTCTGATGTGCTTTTGGGAATATAAGAGTCTAAAAGCTAAAAACTGATTATGTTGGATATAAAGCAGAGATTTTAAAAGCAGGAAAGGTTGATAAATTGATTGTTCAGCACTTCAAAAGAGGAGATTTAATAAAAGCTATAACTGTTCTGCAGACTTCAGGCTTAGGAGGAGATGATTACTTCTGCCCTGATTAGTCAGGTGGCAGCACAGAGGCATCTTTTCAAGGTCCAGAATCCCTATTGGTGCTTCTTCATCTCTGTTGAGGTTTATCTCTGTATCTGAATTTACCCATGCATTTATAATCATCAGAGCAAACACTCCGCTAGCACCTATATTTTAGTCACCAGCTACTGATATTAAATTATCTGAAGAGTTAAACAAGGAGCCCTAATCCTTAGTGGCAATATAATAATATAATCCTTAAACTTTTTCTTTTATTCATACACATCCTTAAATTTCTGCGTAGAACAATTCACAGGGTTAGTGAACATAAACACCAGAGCTAGTTGTCTATCAACTGTGGCCTGTCACAATACAAGCTTAACCTAAGAGCTGCAGAGGGTGATGTGTTTCTAAACCAGGCACAGGGGGCCACATCTTTGAGAAACACTTGCCATTAGCAGCCTCGCGACCCCCCACCAACCGGGCCCTTTCACTCTGAGCCTCCTCTCCTCAAGCCTTTGACCATCACAAGGAAGCCACACAAACCCCAACCCACCCAGCCCCTCCCCTCCTATCCACCTCCCCTTGAGTTGTCGCCCCCATACTGGCTGCTGGCCTTTTCCTGGTTGTCTGATCCATATTTCAGAGGCAGCAGCAGTGACACCAAGGGGGTATAATCCAACATTAAAGAACTGCAGGCCTGGGCTGTGAGCACACAGACACCGGTTCACAAGGTCTTGTAAATCTTCAATTTTGATTTCCGCAGTGTCTGCAGTCACGTCCAAGGTGTTGGGCTGAGGATTTTGTGTGGAGGGAAGGAGTTAGAGACGTCTTCTGTACAAAAAGGCTGACAGTGGGTCAGTTCAGCAGGAAAGAGGATCACGATGAGTGAGACAGCCAAAAGCGTCCATTTCACGGTGAATAAGAGAGAGGTAAAAAGAATGAAATTAATAAAAGAATGTAAAAAATATTTATATCAACATTTTAAAGCTATAAGATGTTACAATCTAAAAAAACAACCCACCTCCTGACATTAGCATTGAAATTTAACCAGTAGATTTGGTCCCAATCAGATGATGAGTTATTTAATACCTTTTTCAGTGGTTCAAATCTTTTTCACACAGACAAAAAAACTCCAGGCAAACTAAAACATGGCAGTGCAAAAAGGCATAATTGCTCAAATGCGCCTGAGGTAGGATGAGCAAATTTAAATACAGAGAGAAAACGCTGTGCTCTGAGCCAGTAGAAAATATTGTACAAAAAAGATTGGATAAGTATACTAAAAAGGTTTAGAGAGCTTTGTTTTGTAAAAGAGGCACCGCCTTTGTTTATTCTACTGCATCCACAACTCAACGCATTTATGACTGCTAAAAGCTGTTAGGATCAAGCTTGAAACGTTGACATGTTGGTTATTTTTTATGTGATCCATGCCAAGTAATGAAACTCACAATGGTATCTTAATAAGGTGTTCCGGTTCGCACCTTAGTGAGAGTGATGTTTACATCTAAGCAAATAATCTGTAACAAGGTGGGAATCGAGCCACATGGTAAAAAGGCCAGTGTGAACACACCCTTAACGTTCTTGTGATAAGATGTTTAAGAAAGTGCTGGAGAGGTCAGTGTTTTCTCTGGTTTTTCAGTGCATTTAGCAGCCATGTGCTTCATCACCTGTTGCTGCCCATTGTCAGTCAGCAGACTCAAACAAAGCCACCTTTCCTTTACAGCAAAGGACACATCTTGAATTTTTCCAAGTAATAATGCCTGTACTTACATAGCACTTTTTCAAGTCAGAGGACTTTACCAAAGTGCTTTACACTACATTCAGTCGTTCAACCCATAACACACTCACACACTGATGGTGGCAAGCTACATTGTAGCCATAGCTGTCCTGGGGTTCACTGACAGAAGCAAGGCTGCCATACACCGGGCCCTCTGACCACCTTCAGTAGGAAATACAGGTGCGGTATCTTGCCCAACGACACAACCACACTGAAAGCCAGAGCCGGGGCTCGAACCAACAGCCCTCTGATTGCAGGGCAAACTCCTGCTCCCACTGTCTCCATATAGTGGCCTTTTCCACGTTGCGAAAAAGATAAATTCCTATGGCATTAAGTTAAATGGAGCGTCAACCTTATTTATGAAAAACAGTTTAAAACAGCTGGAAAACTATAAGCAGCATGCAGAGGTTTTAGAAACACTAGTTTTAAAATTTCATGTCATTAATTTGCAATGATTTGAAGTTCTATTAATGAGTGAAAGCGATGAGAGTAATGCCCCCCCCCCCCCCCCCCCCCCCCCCCGGAAAAAAAGAAGTGTGACATTTGTTCATTTACAGAAGCTAGCAAGAACAACTTCAACAAAGTTCTGTAGAAGTCAAGGGTAGAAAACCGCGGTAGTACTTATAGGTCCTTCCCAATGTAGCAATTCTCAGTGTAGAAACCAAGCCACCTTTAAATTTCTGACCAACTATGCAATCCCAAACAGTAAAAGATTGCAAGCAGAGTAGGATGCTCTATCCATGGTCCTGTATTTATCTCTTAGAACATAAACCATTAAGGTTTGTAAATCTCCCTTTTATTCCAGGTTGTTGGAAATTAAATCCAGTAGCTCAAATAGTATAAATGATTTTTTTTTTTTTACAAATGCAATCCAAAGTAACATAATGGCTGGTAGATGGCAGCTTTTCGTCAGCTGACTGACTGAAGTAGTAAGCATTTGGGGGAAGCATTTTTGGTTGCAAAAAGAAATTGCTTCCTGGGTGTTCTTACAGTTTGTTAGAACACTGCTTATGTTATGTAATGTAACATGTGTATCTAACTGGGAATTTATGAGAAATATCAACACAAAGTACAGCACAGCTGTAAGATGAAAGGAAAATAATGCGCTAATTTCTTTTTTTTAACAAATAAAAACTTGAACAGTTTGGTATAGATTTGCATTTAGCAGAGGTTATGTATGTAATGCTGAGTGCTAAATACAATTCATGAAAATGATTTTAAAAGCACCTTTACAAATTAAGTAGATTATAATAGGTAAATTATACATTTTTGGTAATGGTACTGAATGCAACATAAAAATATCAAAATACATCCACCCAAAGATCTTATGAGAGAAAGTGAAGGCTGTACTGAAATTATCAGATCAAGAGAACCTTGCAACAAAAAAACCCAAAAATTGGAATACGTTCAAAAATTGTTCCCCAAATCTAACTGCATACAAGTCATCGTAATTATATATTTTTTTGTTGAAAAAAGTCTGTTTTGATACAGACTAATTGTGCAGCCATATTAGGCAAAATCTATCAGTAACTATTAAAAAGTCTGAGAAGTCTCCTGCATGGAGGTACATTTCATAACACTGCTGCCTTCAGATATGATGATCATGGGTTTTATCCCAGCCTGAGGTCTTCCTGTTATCAAAAATATTTACATTGGAGTAAACTTTACCAGATTTATCATGATGTTTCATGGCTATTGAAATTACATAGACTCAATTAATACAATCTGAGTAAATTTACCAACTTGGGTAAATTCAAAAGCTTGTTTTTCACAGTGTGAAAAAATAGCATATATAATAAAACATATAATATATAATAAATATATATATGATAGAACTCCGATAAACAGACAACCTTCGAAGGTCTAATTACTTTTGATGCGAGTGGCATCCATCTTAAATGTGGAAGTCGGGCATGATCCTGTTGCATTCCATTTCCAAATTGCAATTCTAACTTTTGGAGACGTTTCTGCTTAAATTTACAGTTTCCAAGTCTGGAATTTGGATTTATGAGGACAAATGGAATACACTATAATTAGGATTTGGCTTGAAATGGGCTTCTAAACAAACCTTGTGTGTAGTTGGACACAATGGTTCCAAGCTGGGTCTCATACAGGTAATGATAAAATACTTTCAGTACGTACAACACACCTGCTACTTATGTGGGTTTACCTTAAAATGTCCTGCATCATGCCTCTATAGGCTAACATTAGGCGACTATTTTATCTTCTATCCATATTTATCTCCCATCCAAAAACACTGATTTTTCAGGTGACTTATCTACCATATATGGTCTAAAATGTAAATATAAAGCAAACATAATGAACCATCTGAATTCAGCTCGTTATAATTGTGTTGCTCTACAGAGAAAAAAATAGTGTAATATTCTGAGCAAAAAGTACTAATATGGAAAATAAATCTGACAAATATTCTGTTTGTTTATGGAATCCCAATAATGAAAAAGATGATATTATTATAACTGCAATAATCAATCATGTAATCTTAGTGCAACAGACCAAATAACTGGATCGTTTCATGTTTTTGGAAAAATATTTGATATTTGGCTAAATTAGGATCATCTGTTAAAGGTGAGAAATCATGTTAGTTTTACTGGTATATAATAACACTGAAAAGGTGGAGAAGTTTTCAATAATAAACGTTTATACTGACATTTATTTAGGTCCCAAAAAATATACTCTTTAAAGACAAATTCATAATGTGTATTTACAAACGTCCGAGTTTTTTTTTTTTTTTCATTCACAACAAAAGGGCTGAGGAAACAAATAGAAAAAGAAGACGTAGCAAAACAAACAAATCTCTGACATCTCTTTCGCATGGAGAAGCTAATACTATAACTGGTCGAGCTTTCAGGGGAAAAAAATAGCCTTCATTTAAATGTCCTCCTTTAAATAAAATTATGATTTTTTTCATCCATTTTCCTTTTTTGTTTCAATAGAAAGTTTTTGCTTCATCTTTTCATAATGTTGTTGTCAGAACTCGCTGCGGCGTCCTTCCATGGTGAGGTCTGAGGAGAAGGAACCAAAACAGATTGGAAATCAGACAAGTTTTTAAACAAAAGAAAAAATATATATCTATATATAAAAAAGAAAAGCTCTTTAAATAGCCTATCTTATTCTTTTCATGCCATTTCACTTTATCTCAGCATATGGAAATTTAATTAATGGATATGTGTCTCAATTGCTGATGCTGCCATCAAATACATTAGCCTCATTCAGAGGGGCAGGGTGGGGATGGGGTGGGGGGGAGTCTTTGAATAAATAGTGGCACATTATTTAAATGACATTAGGTGGTGATAAAGCCGCTGACAGAGCAGGGGTCACAAGCAGGAGGGCTGATATCTTGCTCTGCTGCCTGATGAGGCGTTAAAGTGCTAAATCACATGATTTATGTGCCTCCTGCCCAGCCTGATGTGACACTGTTTACCCCTTTGCTTTGAGCATCATTTAGCAAAAGCCTTACAGAATTAAAGCTGATTGGTGTCATAACGCTTTGGGAAGGATCACCTGTCAGTGATGAGCTGAAAGGGGGACTTGAGGGAATCAGGTCTGCGATCTCTTTCCTCATCTGCAAAAAAAAAATAAGAAACTTAGGCTTCATCTAGAAAAAAGTTAAAGGATAATTATCTATTTTTAACGTTTCATTAAAAAAAATACAATCCTCTTATACATATTTAAATGTAATTGATTTAGGGTGATTTTGTGGGTGTTTTCCTTAATATGTCTTCAATTATTCAATATTATTTTTTTTGCAATGTGTTAGAAAGGTGATGACTAAGAGAAATAGGCAACCATACCATCTCTTTTTGGACTGAAGCTTCCCGATGACTCCAAGTCGCTGTCCTCCTCTGAGCCGGACGTCGCTGCGCCTGCGGCCGCCGCGGGCGCAGGCACCGCTCCGTGCAGCGGCAGGTGTCCGGGCGGCGCGCCGCCCAGCAGAGACCTCATGTTCAAAATAGAGTTGGCGTTCATTAGAGCCGCGTTCGCCCAGTTGTGCAGCTTGCCGATCTGGCACGTGTATATTCCGTGACCCGGCAGCAAGGCCGGGTGGCCGGCGGAGGCCAACGCCGCCTGTTGCGCAAAGGCCGCCGGAGGAGTGGTTTTGTGCGCGCTGTCTGGGGCCGTGGCTGTCTCCGCCAGAGACCAGATTTTGGGTTTGCTCTGCGGTGCTCTCTGGCAGTCGTGTATGCTCGGTGAACGCGCCGCAGCAAGTTTATCTCCAGGCTCCAGCGTCCTGCTGCTCTCCGTGGAGGCCTGCTCCCTGACGGGGAGGCCCGCATCCGCCTCTCCCTTCCCAGAGCCCGGCTCCCCGGATCTCTGCTCCTCCGGCCTCTCGATGTCGACCGTTTCCAAGTCGATCTCTTCCTCCTCCTCTTCGTCATCGCTGCCATTCTTGCCGTGCTCATCCTCGTTGTCGCTGCTGAAGATGCGGCCGTCCCGGTCCTCTGCGCTGCGGCCCCAGGTCACCTTGTTCTCCTTCTTAAGGCGCCTGCGGGCGTTTGCGAACCACGTGGAGACCTGGAAGAATGGTTAAAAAGAAAAAGCCAAATTTTATTCTAAACTTATTATAATTATATAAACAATTATCATAAAACAAAGAATAATATTTGATCCCCCTACTGGCTTGGAAATTACACCCATTGCATACTTATTTTCTTCATCATTACACCTCATACAATTATAATCTTAAACAATCTTAACTCACTTTACCCCACCCCACACACACACACACACACATACACACACACACACAATCAAACAGTCATTAAGCTGCCAACCTGTGTGAGCGTCATCCTTGTAATGATCGCCAGCATGATCTTCTCCCCCTTGGTGGGGTAGGGGTTCTTCTGGTGTTCCTGCAGCCAGGCCTTCAGGGTGCTGGTGGTCTCCCTGGTAGCCGTTTTGGCCCTTGAGGGGTCCCCATATGGGTACTGGCCATACGGATAGAAGCCCTGAGCTGGGTGGACGGGCAGGGAGGCCGCAGGATGGGAGCCCGGGCTGTCCTTCAGCTCATACTGGGAGCCCTGAATAACAGAAAACAACTTGTTGAGCGACTTTTGTACAAGAAAAAAATATTTTAAAAAAGCCTTTTTGAACGGATTGAATCAAAGTTAATTATTTTAATCATATTCAAATGAATTAGTGTGTAATACTTTGGTAACAAATAATATCTGATGATTTTGGGGCTCCACCAATGACAAAAAGTCTTGTGGGTTTATCTCGGTTCTGTTATGAAGGAATATTTTGTAAAAAAATTGTTAGATAATTTATGGGAAAGTTTTAACTTTATTAAATTAGTTTTTCTTTTTTCTTTTTCCAGCATTAACAATAACATCAAACTTCTTAGAGCTGAGTCTCTTAACCTTGAGGATGTCGCTGAATGGTTGACAGGGGAAAAAAGGTTTGTTAAAATAAACATAACAGTATAAATATATCTATTTAGCTGTTTATTTACATTTTAAGGGAAATCCTAATGAACAAAACGTTTTTTAGAGTTCAGCTATGATAGTTTTTTGTTGTGATCAAACATTATTTATTAAAAGGGCTTTTTATAAAAAAAAAAATCTTAAAAAAAATGTAACAAAATGAAATTGCTACCCTAATTATTTGATCAATTTTACTGGTTAAAAAGCAGCAGTCTGTTTTAATTATTGTATTAAATATTGCCCCTTCAATATAAACCTGCACAATCACATATGAACCTGTTTTTGAAGCAGAATCTCTGTTACTGTTACTTCCTTTCAAATTAAAGCCAAAATAAGTTACTTTTGCTGCAATTAAACACATGAGATTTTCTTTTCTACTGTGCGCACTCGTGTTATTATGTTTTAAGTTCCTAGGTGTATTTTTAACGTTTAAATAAGCCAGAAATAAGGCTAAATTGTAAGGTTTTGGAGGGAAAAGGAATCAAAATGACCTTTTTTAGATTAGAAATTAAAATCTAATTAAACATAACTTACTGTATATTTAATAATTGGTTGTAATAACTTTTTTCTTTTAAAAGTTTACTTTATAAATGTGTCAATGGGGGAAAAATAGGAAAAAGAGAGAAACAGCGGTTACCATCTGGGATATGAGGGCGAGGTCCGCGGCTCCGCTGTACGGCAGAAAGGCACTGTAGTTCGGAGCAGCCCACGGGCTTCCGTACATCCCCAGCATAGAACCGACAGCCGCGGCCGTAGCGGAGGCGCTTATCCCGCCCTCCGCGCCTCCATCCCGGGTAGCCGAGGCCGGCCGCTCGCCTCCGTACACCTCATGAGAGGCACTGAGGAACTGGGGGAACCCCAGCTGAGGGAAAGACATGTCCGGGGGAAGAAACCAGAAAAAAAAAAAAAAAAAGTCCGGTGCAGTTAAGAGCTCCACAAAAGTCAATGAAGAAAGCAGGAAAAAAAAGTAGGAATCCTCAAAAAGAAGGAAGAAAAAAATGAGGGAGGGGGGTAGCTGTCTAAAGCTAAAGATACCCCCTTTATTTCACTAAATGCCAGGCGTCTCCTCCTCTCCGCTGCCACAGAGCAGCTAATGTCAGAGCCGCAGTTTGGCACCTTTAGAGCGGAGTGATGCGAGCGTCTGGCCGCGGGAGCTTTTTGCGGGTGTGGAGCTGACGGACTGATTGGCAGCCTACTTAAGCAGCAAGCTCCTCCTACGCCCGGGGCAGGCGATTAGTGCATTGGTTAGCCTAGATCGCGCGTATGTGTGTGAATGTATTGGCGGGGATGTGTTAAGGTGTGTGATTTCATTTCTGCAATGTGTGAGTATGTTCGTGCGCAGGCCTAATTGAATAATAACTATTGTTTCTCTTATTATCATTATGTAGGCACATGTGTTGGTTTGTCTTTGTGTGGAACTAAATATTAAGTGCAGTACAATTTATGTTATTGGTAATTTCTTAGTTTTGGAGAGATATTTTCCATGGGTATAAAGACATTCCTTACAAGTGGATTGGCCCCTGCAGGCATCAGTTCTCTGTGAGGCCCCCAGGGGAAGTGCCAGTCAGAAATCATTGGAGCATCAGGGTTAAGATAAAGAATAAAGGTAATGCTAGAGATGGAAGATGATGGGTGATGGTAGAAGGGTAGGGAGCATGGAAATGATAAACAGGGCCGGCCCAACCTTCTAGGAGACCCTGAACAGCTTATTTCTGGGGGGCAACTTCCAGCTAAACCTATAGGAATTAACCGAAACCTTAGTAGAATATATATTCTTGCAAAAAAAGCATAAATGTTTAACACACACTGTCGTCTTGCTTTATGTATCAAGGATCATGTGTGAACTTACTTAGATTTTTTTTCTTTTCTGTCATTTTAGCAACCCTAACCCATTTTTTCTAACCATCTCCCTATCCTAAACATAACCCAAAACTAACCCTAATCCAATAATAAGGAAGTAAGGACCAGCAAAATTTCCTAATTTTGGTACAAAATTTGTTGAGTCTTGATGCCAAGACTCACACACAAAGATGACCTATTGTTTTTCATTATTTGTTGCATGTTTCATAATATATATTGCATTTATTAATATTATTCTTCCTAGTGTATTTTAGAAAACCTATTTGAGTTATACTAATATCTTCTAATTGTGTTATTTGGTGTTTGTTATTCTGTCAGTTTGTGTTTTGTTTGTCTTTTCTGGACCTTGAGTCTGAAATCAAATATCTTGTAAGATGCCAAACTTATCCAGCGTCCACACGCAAAAGTTTGGATGTCATATAATTTGGTGGTTGGAGTCTTGCATTCATTGCTTATAAAAAATAATTTATTTTAAAGCTTCAGGATGTCCAAATTAGAAGCTGTAAATCGGAAGACTTTGTTAATTGGCAGACTTCTTCATCTTTAAATACTACAGTTTAAATCACAGACTAGAATGAATATAATAAACTGATAACATCTGGTAACCTAGAATTACTTGCACCACTAGAATTTTGCTAGCTGTTATTTCAATAAAAATTACGGAGGCATTTTTTAATTTCTTAAACATTACTGTCCATGCTTAAAGCCATCAGAAATAAAAAGCAATAATTGTTTTTGGTCCTAACATTAAAGAAGTCATGTTTCAGACAGCATTCTAGTGCAGAAACAGGTGGTGGAGGGGCAAATCTTTTAGTCCATATTCACCAAAAAGCAACATGTTTTGTTCTGGCCTATAGTTTTCAGACCTTTAGGATTAAAATTATTGAAAAAAACTTTGAACTTACAGTTATTTATTTGGAATAAGTTAGATAGGATAGATGAAAGTTAATGTTTTATCCAAAATGGAAATAAAGGCATCGCTGCTAACTGTGTGCATGAAGACCTTCAGCTTAAACACCAGAATCATAATTTCCTTGACTAGATTGAATTTTTTTATTTTTTTACGTTTAACCTGTTTTAAAAAAAAAAAATGTCTTATTGTATAAAAAGAAATACATTTAAAACATCACCTGTTTGAATTTTTCTTCATTACATTTTTTACATTTCTCTTTATCTGTCTTGTAATTATAAGCCTTAATAAATACATATTTACAATCTTACTTCTTAACAAAGAAAATTCATAAGAAAATGTAAACTGTAAACAAGGTGCTAAATTACTGTTATTAAAAAAAAGTTTTTCTTTCAAAGTATACTTATACTTCAGTACATCTCTTTAGAAAAACAGGCTTGTGTAGGAAGAAGCTCTTGATGCTACGGGAAAAGTAAAAAGTAACGTTTGACGTTTGAGGGAATCAGAAAAACAGGTTGTTTCCTCATTTAGCTTCAGCTATCACAACAGGCGATCCCCAGTTTGATCCTTTAAAACACACGCTTATTAACAAACACAAACACACACATGCACCCTCGTGTCACACACTCTGTCACACTCACACTTGGGCAGTGCTAATGAGGTCGAGCACCCTGCACCCTGCTCAGAGGCCCCGCGGCCCTCCCGGGCTCCCTCAGAGGTTAGCTGTGTAATTACTCCATCCCCATAAATACAGATTCATCATTTCACACTCTGAGCCTCTGATGAGGTTGGCTGAGCTGAGAGTGAGGGAAAGAGAGAGAGGGAGGGATGAGGGGAGGATGTGTGTCTGTGTGTGCGCTTGTGTGTTTGGGGGGTGATGGAGGGGGGGTAGTTTAATGATTTAATTACAGTGCTTAAAGCCCACTCTGGCTAAGTGATGGTCCGCTCTTCTGTGTCTTCTTCCTCTGTTTCCTCTCCCTCTCCGTCGCTGGCACCTAGAGGGCTTTACTCATGAATCTCAAAGCTGTTTTTTTCCAAAACACACATTATGGCGAGCGCAGCCATCGCTGCTTCTAGATGTGTGTGTGTGAGATAGAGAGGGAAAGACAGAGAAACAGAGAGAGGTAGAGAGGATGTTTAATCTCCATGGCATTTTAAATGGCATTCATGGAGGGCGGCTCAATCCTCATTGCCAAGGTAAATGGAGCCAGGGGACTCTCCATTTCAGCTCAATAAAAGAGCAATGTTAAAGACCCTCACCGTTACCCCCCCCCCCCCCCCACACACACAGATACCCACCCACCCTCCTCCCCCCCCTCTCTCTCTCTCTCTCTCTCTGCTTCCCTGCTCACTTAAAATTAATGTTTTTCTCATGACAGGGGAGGGAAACGAGACATATCCACCATCTAATAGGATAATATAGCCCCCATTCACCACCGTCACCACCACCGCCCCTCCCTCCTCGCTCCCTCCCTGCCTTTGTAGCGGCCTGATTTCCATAGTGTCTCTGTGGAGAGGCAGTTAATGAATTCCTCTGAGCTGGAGAAAGGGGGAGAATGGTTTGGCGGTTTAGAAAAAGAGGCAGGGGTAGGGGGAGGAAAGCTTTGAGCTATGCCATTCAACTTCACAGCCTCGGCCTGTTTGTGCATTCACTGCGTGTGTTTGTGTGCAGGCATGTGTGTGTGTGTCTTTTAACATGAACCTGCTAAGACTACCAAATATTTAGACTGGCCTCAGACCTCTCTCTGTTTTTTTTTTTAAACAGTGACGGTGGATTGAGGGATCTCTGGAGGCAGCTTGACTCTATTTGAATCCAATTCCCTGCTATTAGCCCGGCCCAGACAAAGGAATAACTTACTGCAGATAACCCTTTAAATAAAGTCCCGCAATCCAGTTCCTCCCAGATAATTTGCACTGAGGTAAATTAAGACAACCAAAAATAAATTATAACGCCAGGTCCTCTCCTCTGTGTACCTGGATGAGGTGGTAGGGATGTAATAGTTTTGCAGGGTGTGCTAACTAGAGGTACAGTGTCTAATAAGGTCATTCAAATCTTTCCACATTAAAACCTAAAACTTCAGAGTATTTTATTTGTACCCTGTTCCATCGAACCACTGTGTAGTTTAAGAAAATCTGTTTTTCTGATCCAAAAAGATCTGCAGCCTGTAACAGGTTTTACTTAAGCATTGAACCCTTGGGTTCGTCTTAAGGCATCTTCTCAGCATTTCTAACCAGCCTCCCTGTCCTTAGGAGTTACCATGGAGCCCTATGATGGATGGCTTTGTCGTTGTATGCAGTTGTGCTTTTCCTTTCCCATTTTTGAAATATGCCTTGAAATATTTTTTCATAACCTAATCCTGCTCTAGATTCCTTTGGAACTTTATCCCAAACTCGCCTGCCTTATTCTTGGGCCTCCATGAGATTTTCATAATAAATAAAATGATTATATATATATATATATATATATATATATATATATATATATATATATATATATATATATATATATATATATATATATATATATATATATATATATATATATATATATATATATATATATATATATATATATATATATATATATATATATGTATATATTCTGGATTTCATTTAGCGGTTTTGAAGTAAAGTGGCCTGAGTCCAAGTAGGCGTCACAATTTTTTATTTTATTTTTTATCTCTGATTTAGAAAACAATTAATCCTCTTCATATATTGCACAATACTTTGATTTACTTTGATGAACACATCTGGTACTATGAAAAAGTATTCTTTTCCCAAATACAGCAGTGAATTTTGGTGTTCCTTTTAGTCTTTTTTTTTACTCCTCCATTTTCAAAGTTGCAAGCAAATAAAAAATAAATCAGGGAAAGATAAACTAAGTAGTTCTTTTATGAATCCAAACGCAATAGCTGGTTGGGCCACCTTTGGCAACACAACTGTCACCACCAATGAGTCTCATATAGATGTGGAGAAATTTTGGCCAACTCTTCTTTGTAACATTGCTTTTATTCAACAGAATTTTGAGCTAACTATTAAGCACCAACATCATGTTTCTGTATCTTAAATGAATTTGAGTACAGACATTGACTTGGACATTTCTAAAACCCTGATTATTATTATTAATATGTCTTGTTTTTGGAACTTTTCTGTGGTTCTCCAAGTCTTTTTCTTATTGTTAAATCATGAAAGCTGTTACAAATTAATCAATCCATTAGGGATGCATGGCATACCGACCTTAAAGTCTGTATAATGGCCAAAGTTGGTAATTTTGAGACTTATTGGTCCAATAAGTAAAACTGGGCTGGTATCAATAATGGATCGGGAGGAGCAGGAATTTTTTTTTTTTTTTTTTTTTTTTTGGTCATGTGGCAGTGATAATGATGTAATAAAGAATTGCGGGTGATAATATGAAGCGTT